GGGGGGGGGTACTCACAGTCGTGCACGCCATAGCGTTAGACACCCGTGTTGCAAGTCCCCACAAAAAGCCTTTCTTTTTTTTAATACGACAAGGCATCGATCACGCGGAGCCCCCAGAGCCGCCGAATTCCTAATGGGGCAGGCCGTTATTCGTCAACAACTCCCTCCGGCTGTAGTGGCGATCCAAAAAGTGGCCAGCCTTCCAAAGCAACCTCAGGCAATTCTCTACAGCGTGGTGCCGAAAAACAAAATGGACGGGATCGTTTTTTTGAGCGCGGATAGAGCGTTGAAGGTCAAATTGCGGGGGAACTTGCCGGAGAATTCCAACAAAATTGGAGGTAGACGCGTTGGGCGTGTTTGGTCGACATATAGGCGATAGAATGGTTCACCCTCGTAGCGGCGATCCAAAATTTCGCCAACCCCTCAATGCTACCTATGCCCATGTAATGCACTCTGGCGAAGTTTCGAGCGAAATCGCCAACTCCTGTGCCCGCGGGTAGCAGCGTGAAGTTTGGTGCTGAGAGCTGCGGAACGGGCTAAAAGCAGCAGCTCTTTCACTTCTGACAGCACGGCATTTGCCAGGTTCAGAGCAAAAACCAGGCCAAACCAAATGTCTGCACGTGTAGAACACAACATGCATGAGGTATCCTGCAGGTTTCATGGCACGTAGCCATCCGTGTGAGGAGCACCAGCAGTGACAAAGGTGTGCACCAGATGGAGCGCTGGGCAACCGACCATGGGGGCTTACGCGGGGTACCATCGATTTTCGCGGAACCCCTTTGTCGTATTTTTTTTTGCTTTTTATGGGACTCGCAACACGGGTGTAGCCCATTGACTTCGCATCCCTACAAAGCCGGGACGGAGCACACCGGGTTCTCACCGAACCAGGCTCTCACACCACCAAGCGCGAAACGCTAAGGGGGGGAGCGTTAGTCAGGTTTTGCATGCCTTCGTTGTTAGACCAAGCGTCCTCGAGAGGGGGGGTGGGAGGATGCTCATATGTTTGCTGCTCGCGATGGTTGGTCAATACTAGCTGCGATAAATGAAGGGGCAGGAAACAAAGAGGAAAAGGAGAGCGTTCGCCAAAACAAGAAGATTTCTGTCAAAACACACAAACAGAGTCATTACCTATGAAAAAATTGTAGCCAAACACAAAAACTGCTGTGCAGAAAAAAACGAGGCATTTTCCGCCAAGAAAAAGGCGTTGACGCATGTTCTGTGAACAAAGCAACGCGATTTCTGTCCAAAAAAAAAAAAAAACAGAAGCACGCCCACCTCCCTGTTCGCCGGAGGCCACGGGAACCCTGATCCCCTCGAAGCTCTCAGCCCCATCCCACCTCCCCCTAACGGCCCGAGCACATGGTTGCTGCCGTTTGCGCCACCACCACCGCCGGTACCGATGAAGGCGGGTGCTGGTGATGCAGAGGGCTGCTGAGGCGGTGGCGGCGGCGGCGCTGGGGTGGGCGGTGTGGCCGACCGCGGAGGTGGTGCCAGACCCAAGTCCATGTCCATCGCGCCCATATCGAACATCATCCTGAATGTTTTTACATGTGGGTCAAATATTGCAGCGTTTGTTCGGCGTTTGTGTCACGTGGTATGGTCCCCACGCGTGTGGGGGTCTTTGCAAACAGGACTCGCCACTACCAATATACAAATTCAAGAGCTTAAGAGCATGAAGAGGAACATGTGCTCAAGTAATAATCGTGTCCGTAGACCTACATGTACATAGAGTCGCCGTATGGTCTACATGTACAGTCGCCGCAGGGTTCTACACCCAACTTGTTGCAATGTGGTGGTGGGTACTGCTAACAGTACGCGAGTGCGACATTCTGCACGTACAACTACTACTGGTGCCAACAGCACCGGCCATCAACCAAACGCTACCAACAACAATTAGACAACGGCCAGGAGCATCATAGGTCAACAACCGCAGCACCCAGCACCTCGCCCCAACAGCCCAATACCCCGCACGTCGTTCCTCGTGGTGTTTTGTTAGTCTGTAGTGGAGCAAGTATCGATCTACCATTGGTGCAACCATGTGCGTGTGCTGTTCACGGGCGAAAAAAGAGAAGTCCCTGGTACGTACTCCGGTAAGCATTAAGGCCGCAGAAACATGGCCGACCGTCCCTTTCATTGCATGTATTAGGTTTTCTCAATACTGCTGTAGTTGATAGTACCGGGTGGCCAATATACCTCTGGCCAAATCCCTCGGCACTACCATGCGGGCGAACTACAGGGACCGCAATGCCACTCTTTTTCAGGGCCCACTACTATTACCGTAGTGCCATGATCATCTCTCTCACCCTTCCTCTGCTTCGTTGGGAGACGGGGTCCCGCAGCGGGCGCAAGGGCTACCCCCACCCTCCCCGCCAGCCGTCGCCGCCGCCGCTGCTGCTGCGGCCGCCTCTGCTCTGGCCGCCGCCCGCATGGCTGGTGGGATGTATTTGCCACCCCCACCACCACCACCAAATAGGGCTGTCGGGGGAGGGGTGCCGACGGACGTAGATATGGGGGTAGGGGATAGCAGATATCAGGAAGGTTGAGGTTTTCGTTGTGAATACCATATTAAGGCGACAGCAGCCGCACATCAGCTGCACAGCAGCGGAGCAGTAGCTGCGGCAAACAACGCCAGCTGCGGGAGAGCAGAAGCAACATCAGTAGCGGTGCCACAAGCAGCACCAACCACATACCAACATCATCAACACCGCTACAGTACCACCAACAAAAACACAACACCACATCACACCAACAACACCACCAATACACCAACATCACCATCAACAACAGCAACAACAACAAAACACCACACCGCACCACCACCAATACCAACACCGCCAACATCACCATCAACAGCAACAGAGGATCTCGCTCACGTCTGGCTACGGGAGGCACGTCCTTCGCCGATTCCTCCTGAGCCGCCGCCGCCGCCGCCGCGGTTGCCGTGGCCGACACAGCCGTCAGAAGCGAGTGGGGCTCCACGTTCATGCCCAAGCCCAGTCCCATGGCCTCCTTGAAACAAAAAGAAGCATGTACACAAGATGTTAGGGGGAAGTCACGCGAAGAGTTGCAGCAACGAATCCCGTTCGAACGAACGATAAATAATCGAACCGCACTGCTGTGCTCTTGTCTCAAGCTCTTGTCTCAAGCTCTTGTACGATGGCCACTGCTGTGCCCTTATCGCCCTTTGCTTGTTGTCGGATCGCTGCTACGCTCTGGCACTGACGAACACGCGCAGGTTGAACACAACATGCACGACCAAGAGCACGCGCTCAAAACACACGCAGTCGGGGCTTGGGCATCCACCACCCAATGACAGCAGTCCTTGTCCTGACATAAGATGCATACCTGAGACGTGAGAGCCATGCCGACCTCGGACATGATGCCCTCGTCCGAAGTGGATCCGTGGCCTGACTCGGAACTCTTTTCGTCGCCATAAATTCCAGCCGTAGTTGTCGGCCCCAGAGCACAACAGCGGGCGCGGGGGGGGGCACACAAAGCAAACATTAACAAGAGGGGGGAGAACACGGATGAAAAACTAACAGGAAGTACACAGAAAAAAATGAAACGGGGGGGGGGCACGGCGGAGGAGGTCCAAAAGTGCACCAAATTGAGCTCTGCTGGGAACCCGGAAACATCACTTTCTTATCTTCGACCAATCAGAGCTTGCAAAATCGATAAATAAGTCTTGCTTTTTCGGACCTCGTTAATGCATGGCCTTATGTGCGAGCCATGGCAGAGGTGTCGGACTCATCGCAAAAGTGTCAGAAAAAAGAAACAAAAAAACAGGCGAGACATTGGGTGCTGCCTCGAGTGCTTCTGAGGGGGGCACTACTACCATCCATATGCGTAGCAGTGGTGGCTAAGGCGTTAAGACGAAACACACAGCATTGCCACTGTTGCGGTTTGCTGAAGTATCGCACACGCAGCAGTTTTCTATCAGGGTAAGGTTGCTATATAACGAACGGAAGCAGTCGTTCTGTGATTGTACGCACATTTTCTAAAAATATCTACCGACGAAAAACACTTTCAGATGTGAAGGATTGCCATACTAACGTTGCTGCCTTGACGGTAACAACCTTTCGTTCCCGCCTCACTTCAGTAGGAGCACCTGCTTAAATACACATCCGTTACCCGGTCCAACTGGCGCAGAGAAACGCATTTCCGCGGACACGGCCGAAAACAGCAGTACCCCAAAAGGGTATACGAAATGCACGGAAGTAACAGCACTACACACTGGCGAACATATAAATGGCGTCCGTAAGAGCGGGGATTATTATTAATAGTTGTCCTTACTCTTCTTGCCCCCCCTTTAAGCGGGGACGATTGTGCGGACTGGCACTGAGGACTTTCTCATATTCGTACTGGTCCAACGGACGCGGACACCTTCCATGGTCACATGCCAGCTATAATACCAATATCGATCAAGTGATCATCAAGCACGACGCACAACGTAATGGGTGCATTAGAGGGCACGGACGAAACCACTGCCCGAAAACCCACTGTACAGCAGTGCTCCTGGCCCAATTGCGACGCACAGTACAGCACTACCTCCCTGTTACACATGGCGTCACTCAAACAGGCTAGCTACCGCTTAATTCTTACCCGGCCCTCGTCCCCCGATGAACCGTATCCAGACGCGCTGATAGACCGAGCCTGCTGCCGACATGTGACGGCATCGCCATCACTGTCGCCGCCATCGTGAGACTGCTGTTGCTGCTGCCCTCTGGTTTGGGTGAGAAAACCGGGGGGTGGGGGGGGGGGGCACGGACGGTATGAGAGGGTGGGTGAGGAGTGCAACTCTGTAAGTGCTTGCTATGTATGGGACGAAGGCCGCTAGCAGCATCGGCTGCGGTATCCGCACATCCGCACGCCTGCTAGCCATCTGTACCCAATCACCAATGACAAGATAATCGGGAAATGGGGGGTACGCGGACCGATTGGCGTCCTGAACGTTCGTGAGGCCCGGCATGTAATAGCGCATTAACGTATCACCGAGATTCGAATCCAAACTTTGATTGGTGGAAAATCAACACTTAAGCCTCGTCTGAGCTACAAGCAGAAAAATGCAACTCGATTACTGATTTCCGGCTGAAAAAAATCAATCCTGCAGGACATTTTACTTCCAAACAAGAAGCAAACATATGCACAAAAAATATGTCTTGTTTTTCTCTTTCCGCTCAGCAGAGCCCAATTTTGTGACTTTTTACCTTGTCGAGTTTGATTTTTCGAGATTCGTTAGTACACGGCCTGAAGCATGGAACGTGGCACACCCATCTGAACCCCCCCCGCATGCCCCACCAGACACTTGGTGCCACCCTTGTCACCAGACGCTGCATGCTTGCTCTCTACTGCCGTACCACGCAACTGCGCAAGGTAAGGATGTACAACCCCTTCACCGATTTCCACGGCTCGATTGTAGTCTGTAGCACAAAACAACAGTCTCGTCGAGAGAGAGCACTCGGAAAAGGCATCAGTTGATGTTGGTATCCTCTTCGAGGTGAAAATTAATGGAGATTTTAGCAGTAAATATCAGTCCAATGTGTGGTATATTACGCAACCTATCAATGCTCAATAAAATATCTGTGGAGGGTTTGGGGGGAAGAATGGGACATATCTGTCTGTCTCTCTGTCTGTCTGTCTGTCTGTCTCTCTGCCTCTCTCCGTCTCTGTCTCTCTCTCCCCCCCCCTCCCCCCAATCTCCCTCCCTCTCATTCTCACCGCTCTTGGCACACGAAGTCGAGCTCGGCAACAAAGTCTTCGTCGTCCCTTCCGTACGCCTCGCCCCCCGCGGACCTAGCGCGCGCGAGCGAAATCCCGGGGCCCCCGCCGACACCGCCCCCTCCCCCCGCCACGACTGCTGCTGCTGCTGCTGCCGCGTCCCCCCCCCCGATAACGTGGCCTCCTCCTCCTCCGTACCCGTACCCACCCCCATAAGAAGGCGAATCCGCGTACCCCCCGTAGCCGTCGTTACCGTAGCACCCCAGGCTTTCCGTGCGCCGCCGCCGCTCGTCGGTGCAGAGAGAGGCCACGCGGTGGTGCCTCCCTCCTCTCCCCTCGCCGCCGCCGCCCCCGCCGCCGCCGCATGGCCCTCCCTCCGCCTGCAGCGGCAGCAGCAGCGGGGTCTGGGAGGAGACGGACCCGATGCCGCCGCCGTCTTCGTCGTTTCCGTCGCCGGTCGCTTCGGCCTCGCCGTCGTCGTGCACTACCCCCCCCTCCCCTC